ATACAGCTAAAAATGAACTTGTGAGAGTCGTTCATCTATACCCCCCCCCCCCCCCCCCCCCCTCCATTTGCCAACGTTATACCAAAAGTTATTTTTTCCTGCTATTAGTTCTGACCACAAGTCGCCAAATTTTGAAACCCTTACCACTTGGATGTTCATCTTCCTTTCTGTGAAGCCCGAAGTCAACTAAAGGGCTAATGATACCCATCATAACGCCTGCCATTTGAAATAAATAAATATTTAAGGGTTAGGAGACATTTTATTTTAGTTAAAAACGTTTCATTTTCTTCCTAATAGGCCAGAACTACTCAAGTCGTACTATATCATACTAGAAATTGATAACCCAATTAATATAAATGACTGCGTACTTTGCAGAAAACAAGGATTCACTACCACCACCCGAAGGAACTACGGTAAAAGGCAAAAAAATTTTTGGTGGGTATGTTAGAAAGAGAGGGGTGACTTCCCATTCCCAGATCACTTTAACCCAGAGAGATTTTAGTTTGACCAATCTCTGAAGGTTTGGATGTTATAGTTAAATTTAATTGTCACATGGAATTTGTATGCTATCACTGTTCAAGATGCAGAATAAATAAATGCCTACCCAATAAATAAACCTCCTTTCCGTATAAGAAACCGTTATTTTTAAATTACTACTTATTTTCACGGAATATTAGGTAGTCGTATTGGACGCCAACCAAATGCTGTCAAACATATGTGTGCCATAGAGATTGAGAGAATCAAGTCCAAATTGAGCTCATCAGCATCTCAAACAACACCACCTCCACCACACTCTCAACAGACCCCCTCGAATTACTATGAGCATCACCAACAAAGCCAACAGCAGCACCTCCGCTCTATGCAGCAGCAACAGGCAAATGCTTCTTCGCTCTACACTCAGTCAATGAAAATTGAGGAGGGAGAAATTTTGTTTCCACCCTGGACACCGGCCACTTATCATCCAGCTTACTATGAAACGACTGGAGGGCATGTTGGCCTACCTGAGATCACGGCGATTAAATCTGGAATCAATTCTGCCGATCACCAACAGCAGAGGTTTGCGAAGCTTGCTGAACTAGCAGGAGAAACAAACGTCGGGTCTGGATATGTCGCTGCAGCAGCGGTAGCTGTAGCAGCTGCTGCAATCGACAATCGATCCATTGATAATTATGAAGGTCGGGGAGCGCCCTATAGTGTGGCTGGGGAGATTGGGAATCCGAGAATACGTGGAAGGTCAGATGCGAATAGGACGGAACAGAGCATTCTGCCCAGCATTCAAGGCGTGACAAGTCAACAACAGCAATCAAGCGTTACTTCAAACGCTAATACAGTGCATTTGTATGATAATTCGGCAGCAATGAGCAGCTACGAACAAGCAGCCGTAAGTTTAGTTACTTTGATTAGTATATTCTTGCCTCTTGGATTGGGCTTATTGACTAAACCTAGCCATCTGTTCCCCTTTTAGTTATCTAGTCTGATACGCCTTGCGAAACAAGTCCAATCAGCCAATACTACTAATAGCAGTAATAGTAGCAACAGTGGAAGTCATGAGGGCTTATTGGCCCCACCACAGGCATCGTCAGCGGCTACGGGTCTACTGAATGAGAATTTCTCTCCAATTGACAGTTTGCACACTCAGCAGCAATTAGAATCAGTTCAGCAGCCATCCAATCTTACCCCTATTCGTCAAATTAGGAGCTCAATAGAAGAAGGAGATTCCGAGGGCGAAAGTAGAAGAGAAGGTAATGATGCTTCCGATTTACCAGCAGCTGGAGCTAGTAGTTCTCCTGAAGATGAAACGGGAAAACTAATTAATCGATCGCGCATGTCAGTCGATGCCTTGATGTTGAATAAGAATGATGGAGGAACGAGTGTTCAACCAATCGACCAGTCATTTCGCCTCAGCGAAAGTGAGGTTTCATTGACGATCCTAACGTCCATTTATTCATTTCAAGTTAATTATGTCGATATTTCCTTTTAGACCGATATATAGGTGACGACTATCAACCAGTAGGAAATCTCTACTTAAATCAGAAATCCTACGAATCTGATGCTAGAAGCCAAAATGATACCCCTATGGAAATCAACATGCCTCCAGCCATAAGTTCCGTTTCCTTTACCTCACAAATGTCTCTTGAGACGTTCACAGAGTACATATCGGAGGCAGCAGTCCACTTAAATGGTTTTAGGCAGAGGGTGAGTTTTAAGCGTATTCGAAAATTTAAAATACCTTCTACTGAAATATAACCAATAGTATGGCTATTTACAGGTGACTGAAAATTTTTTTCTCGAGACGAACGTTACCCCTTCAACAATATGGGCACACATGATGGCCCACTTTGAGGCTCACGCACATCAGGTCATTCGATTTGCTCGAGCTATTCCAGGATTCCGTGACCTACCACGGGCTGATACCAAATTCTTGGTGCAGGCTTCAATGTACCCCATCGTGCTGGTTCAATTAGCAAGGGAACCGTTGCAGGGAGGAGATTTCAATTTCTACAACTTTACTCCACGTGAAAGACAGCATTTACTAGATGAGTTCCCACAGTTGAATCCTCTGGCTGAGCACTTCTATGATCTCACTAACTTCCTAGGCCCACTTTCTTTGGACAATACAGAGGCAGCACTCTTTTGCAGTATCATATTCCTGCGTGGATGTAAGCTGCCATTCCAATATTTAAAAAACGAATTTAAATTCGAGATAATTAGTCATGAATAGAAATGTCACGTATGCTTTATTGTCAGAATTATTCATTATTGTATTTTAAATTTTGTTCACCATTCAAGCCAGTAAGTTTTCTTCCTGTAGACTATAAGTGGTTTACAAAATTGTACAGGTTTGTTGGAGAACGTGAAATCGAAAAATCGATGACAATTTTTCTCAGTCCAAATATAACCGCGGATCACATTAAAGGGTGGGCCAGGTCCCCCTAAAATATCGTGAGAATTGTGTGCCTATTGGGAATCAATTAACTTATCAAAAAGTGGAGTTAATTTTTTTAATACTTGATGACGAGCGAACTGTGGTGTTGGTCATAGAGATGTTTTAATTTGATAATTTTTAACTGCACAGAGTGCATTGATCAAACTCTATTCTGACTAGATTTGCTCTTATTCAATCTGAACCTAATTTAAGTTCGTTCGTGTGTTGAAATAGATAGGTGAAACTACGAACAAAGCTACTTGTAATATTAGATTTCACATGAAGTAAAGAATAAAGATGACTGACAGTGAATTTTTCATTTTAGCGAATCAAAAGCTTCAAGAAGCTGAAAAGATCTATGAAATCTACAATCATGCTGCCTTAGCCCTTCAACAATATATCACAGGTAAAAATTCTATTTGGTGTTACCTAGCTTTGGTAATTGGAACTAGACTGCTCATAATACACAGACACCGCTTTATGCGCTTCCTATTTCCTTCTACCGTAGTTCGTTACTCGAGCGACGAAAGATTCACGCGATTGATCAAGTTGTTGCCAAGCCTCTCAAGCATGAATGAGGCACATCGAGTAGCCGTTCGCAATCTGCGCCAATCACGACCCGACCTTCACTTCCTTGATCTCTTTGTACAAATGTTTCAATTGGACACTGGGAATAGCCAATCCGAAGGTAGTGCAGTTCCAACAATTGATATAGGCAATAGTGGATTGGTAAACTCAAATGAATGAATAAAAGTAATCCCCGTAGGAGACGCCCAACCATGCCGATGCGTCTTATATCTCTCACGTACCCACCCACTCAAATAAATAATAGCATTTCACGCAACCAATCTTTTGACTCCATACTCTGCTCCTCTTCTTCGTCTTTATTTTAATTTATACCATGCTACTGTCATTTCCATCAGTAGCACACAAAAATGTTCATGTACATAGATACTTACTAATCACCTTTTCAGCTCTATATATCCATTGTTTTAGTGCTCGCGCTTATCCCAAAGTATTTTTTCTAGAAGTGTTTTTACAATGTCAATAATAAAACTAACGCATTTCTCTGATAGTATTTCAGTTGTGTTTTAATCTTATTTGGACAAAGGGGCCTGTGGTCTATGTGATTGATTGCATACTCATATCCTAACCATTGTTTTGCGTATCAGTTGGAAACGAAGCAAGGTTGGTCAAGTTTTTAAACTTGAAATATGGCGGCTTCTTAATATCGTGGCATATTTCTACCACTTCCACTCTTCCAGAAAGAAAAAGACTCCAATGCGTATTTCACTAATAGTTTAGTTTCAAATGGGGGTGCGCGATAGACTTACCTCCACGTGGTGCACCTTTGACAACGTATACTCATACGGCAAAAATGCCTATTAACCGGTAGTTGACTTCTGTCTTCAAATTACCATCACCCCATTGTATGTCATATTCGACTACTTCCACATTACTCACCTTACCTTTTTTTACCTTTGTTTCTGTTTCTTTTGCATCTTTGAAACACTCTACTATCCTCCCTCTGGACTTTTTTACTTTGATGTTCCTTCCATTCTGTGTGAAGCCAAAATCAACTAAAGGACTAATGATAACTGTCAAAACGCCTGCCATTTGATATAAATAAATACTTTCAAATGTATTATTGACGAACTGCAACACGGAGTAAATTTGAGCAATTATATGCTGCCGGGTAATCTATATTGATTAGTCAGAAGTCATTTCTAAATTGACTTTGACAGGTGACAACTTCCTCAAATTGATCAAATGCAGGAAAATCGCCATACTTTGGTAAGAAGCAGGATTAGAATATTGATGTGCTAAATATCTAGGCACTTTTTAACCAACAAAACAGACGATTGAAGTATTAAGAAATAATATGCAGAAGCTCACACGTATTGCTGTCATTTTTAACCCTTTAACACCCTAATTATTTGTTTTGACAAGTGGACTCAACCGCATTCACGCGTGTCTCACAGCTGATTGACAGCGAAGTGATGCGTTTTGGTGGTGTATCAGGCGAAAGCTACACAGACGCGTACTGAACATGCTACCAACGATAGTAGCGCCTTCTGCCACGAGTCTAGTAACCAATGGAGGTTATTTTGAAAGAGAATCGTACGGTCCTAACCGCGTTAAAGGGCCAATAATGTTTGTCAGTATCACTTACCGTTAAGATCACAGCAGCAGTAGCCCATCAAACATTAAGCAATCAGTTTAAGAGGTGAATATTCCACAATGTAACGTTGGCAGTTTAATCAATGAGACACAACGCGGGAAATCAGCGTTATGGTTACCTTGATATTGATAATTCGTAGAACCTCCTACAATTCGCTCATAGCCGAGGGGTGTTTTGAGACAAAACATGGCATATATCTCTTACAAGTTCCTGTTTACCTCATACTGCTAGATCCTTTATTACTTGCATACAGCTATAAAGTATTAGGTAGTTAGTAATTAGGAATTGAAGACATACTGACCAACGGTGCTTCTTCTTGCTAATTATATACCCCACCTACACTTCTGTGCGAATGCAAGAAATATGGAACCAAGCGAATGATCAACATTTTTAAGGACACTAAGATAAATTTTGAATAATTACCTCATATATAACACGACCAATAGTACATCACATACCTAATGAAAAGGCATCGTTGCACTACTTGTATAAATGGATGAACGCGAAAACCCACACTAGGAGTAAAAATATTGTGGCGGTCAACTAATAAAAAAATACGTATTTGTAAACTATTTGAAGTTAAGCTTATCTTGGTATTCCATACGTGAACTCATGGCTTCCAAATCTGAAACGCATGTTGGCGATAATTGAGGTCTTGACCTTGAAAGTATTGAGTAGGCAGTTTGTCAGGTTGACTCCAACCAGGCCGACTAAGTGGCAATACACGGTACTTGCTCAAATACCATGACTTCTCTCTGGGTTTGGGGTTTCAAATACATCGATGTTACTCCCAATTCTGAAGCCTATGGTACTTGCACAGTCCGACACACAGGTAAGCTGTCTTACTACGTATTGTGCCCGTAATTATTGACTGGTTGCGCATCCGAGATTCGCACAAAGACTCAAACTCAATAAAATCAATAAAGTGTAACCGACTCCGCCTACTTATCACAATTTGGATAGGCTTCACTCAGTACTGGGAGCCCCTTCCCAATAATTTACACTTGCACAACCAAACTCTTAGTCATCTCACCCATTAAAGACTGTAATTTCCCGGCATTTTCTATTATTATTATTTCGATGAGGAAATGACAAGTATAGCCTGGTCTGCCTCTTAAAGTAGTTGTACTTACGATAAGCAGGCTTTAACTTCCTCACATTGAATCCGAAACGCACTTTATTAATACCGGATTGCGAGATATTTGATCAAAACAATAGTTGCTATCTCGATTTTTCTTCATCTCAGCATTTGCTGTGATGACTCACATAGCCATTAAGCTTGTAGAAATTTCTTACTGCCCCTGAAGCTGTTTAGTGAAATCTGATCTCCAACAAATCCGTACATCCCCATCATGAAAGCCAAATAAAATTTACGAAAAATATACACCAAAGAACCGTCAATAGTAATTTTCACAAATTTTATGAAGGAAGGCTAGCGCGTTTCTAAATAATTAACTTTGGTAGACAAATAACACCCCTTTACCAGTTATAACCAATATACGACCGGTCATACCTTTTCGGAGCTATAGATATGGAAAAGATAAACCATGAATAGCATAGAATTAACAGTCACGTCACTTATAAACACTCCCCAAACCCAAATATGCAAGCACAGAATTTCAGTCAAAAAAAGCCGAAATTCCACACCTACCAAAGGGCGAATTAAAAGAGAAATATCGTAGGGTAAAAGCATGTAGACAAGCGGCTGCAAGGAAGTCATATTATTATTCAATCAAATCATTAATCGCACAAACACCAAGAGAGAGAGAGAGAAGGAGGTAAACAATAAAAATAGCAGCGTAATGGTGGAGAGGGAGAAAAGACAACAACAATAATAATTGGAAAGCGATAAATTAGAGAGCTGATGGGGAACATTCGGCCATTTCATCACGCTAAATCACAGCTAATACCTTAGGTCGTACATGGGGGGGGGGGTAGAGAAGAGGGTGTGCATGCTATGAAAAGGAAAGAAGATTCAGTGAATAGATTAGTTAATTGGAAAGAATTCCATGGAATGCTTCACGAACGTATGGATGAACGTCCATTGCACGAGATTTTAATGATAACTGAAACATAAAAAGATATGTCAGTAATAGCGCACTATGTGAGAAAGCAATTAGATAGTCCCTGGATGTGCCGTATTGCTAAACTGCTTTAATAAGTACATACAAGACAGAGCTAGCGCTCAGGGTACTAGCTAACATCATCACGTGGTGATTGGTTCCCAATCACTCACTGATAGAGATGTTACACCGAGGTCCTGTGCGGAACATTATTTGCAGATACAGGGGGGGTGGCAGTATTTCAAACCTCCTCCAATAATCTCAAACAACAATCATCAACATCTTTCACTTTTCCAAGTGGCTATAACTAAGACGGTTACCGAGGCCAGTGGTCATAGCCAGGTGAAACTACAGCCATTTAATTCCTAACCAACAAATCGACAATAATGAAGTAAATGTAGGTTTGTAGAAGCCACCGTGGCAATTAATACAGATGTTTCCAAATATGCCTTCCTTGACGGTATAGATGAAAAAATCAAAATTTAGGAAGTGAATCTTTGCCTATAGAACACAAGTAGGCCTAAATTTAGCAAAAATATATTATAAAGAAAAACTTGCGTCAAGAGGGTGAGCCAAAAAGTTCTCAAACAAATCCCATAACTTTGAATAGAACAAAGACTTACAAGTTTTATAAGGTCAAGCATGACTTTAAAGATTTAATAATATAACATAATACAATTTCCGGTCATTCTATGTAAGATCAGGATCAAGGTAGGTTGCATCTCAAAATAGATAGCAATTTTCAACCCTTCAAATGGCAAATTTTGAGATTCAAGTTACCATAAAATTTTTAACACAACTAAGTTGAAAACCTCAACAGATCATAGGAACTTTACAACGGGTTTATGAAGACTATGGGCCAAGTAGAACAGTCATTCAAGATTGGATTAAACGCTTTAAAGAGGGAAGAGTGCAATTTGATGACAACCCACGAAGAGGGAGATCCAACACAGCAAGAAATTAAGAAAACATCCTTCTTGTGCAGAACCCAGTGGAACAAAATGGACGAGTTACCATTGAGGAAGTTGCTAATGAAGTAGGACTTGCACACAGATCAGTGTTTTTGCAATTCCCAAAGAAAATCTTGGCTCGAGAAAGCGCTCGGTGGGCACTATGGGTTTCAGAGGGTTGCAGGAACAACAACTGATCCAAAGACCTGAACTTTCTTTAGTAACTTTGACAAAGATGGAAGCAAATGAGAATAATTTGTTTAAGCGTTGTTACCGGAGGTGAAACCTGAATCTATCAATTTGATGCCAGAAACAAAGCTGAATCAAAAGAGTGGCATCCAAAGGAAACATCTAGAACTGTCAAGTTAAAAAGCTGAAAGGTGCGTTAGGAAAGTCATGACAACTATGTCGTGGGATTAAAAAGGGATAATATTGATAGAATTTCCAGAACAGAAAGAAGTCACCTCAAGTTATTATGAAGATGTTTTGAAGAAGTTAAAGACATTTCTCGCCAAAAAACAGTGCGGGAAACTGCACAGTCAAATTTTGTTTCACCATGACAATGCCACTGCATATTCGTCAAGAACTGCCAAGCTCTTGTTACACGAATTTTGTCAGGAAATACATCCACATCCACCGTATAGCCCTGACTGAAAGAAAACCTTAAAGGCACCTGACTTACAAAAAACATGTAGCGTCATGATGCCAGAAATGGGTCAGGAAGTTCTACCATCGGGGAAGTTACAGGTGGAAATATAGATTAGAAAAGTGTATAGACAACAATGGGACCACTGTAGGAAAATGAGTGTAATCATTTGTTGAATAATTTATGGAATTTGTCTGAGAGAATTATAGTCCACCCTCGTATAATAGGGATAGGTTTAGAAACACAAGCCACCTACTTACCGTGTAGGACATGTTACCGGGTTGGATTTTGAGCTCAGCCAAAACCCATATGCCATTGCAGAGTTTCATTGATTGATAAAGCATATCTTGACCATCGACATTGCGTTGGGCAATTGTGAAAATGTTGTTGTTACGTAGCTTCTGTGAGCAGGTATCTGGGAAATAACAGAATAAAAATGAAATAAGACGTCTTCACTTATCCAAGTTTGTTAAAAACGTGGTAAGCGGAAAATTATTTCCGGAGACATTGTGGGTAACGACCAAGATGAACAGATTTGGTATTCATTGACCGTGCAACCAACTTCAATGTTAGATCAGACTATCGAGTAGGATGATAACATTAACTTTATCCAAACTTAAAAATAACCGTTGGACCAAAAAGCTACCTTTCAAGGCAAGGTAACATGAATAACAGTGATCCTAATCTTAGAATGGGAATCGGAGAGTTCCAAACCAATAAGATAGGCGAATGCTACTACCACAACGTTCAACTAATCAACCGACAAAGACACTCCTAGTGTCAGAACAAAAAATCCCGAGGAAACAGAGCATGCGTTTTTGATAAACTCAAGTAAGACGAAACCTTGAAAAGGACGGAAATATTGCTGAAAATAATTATATAGAGAGCCTATGTTAAACAACTAAATCGGCCATTCAACTGGGAATAGGGACAATTCAGGACTCTGGATCGATGCGAACTAATTAACTGGTTGAGGCACTCAATTAGCACTTAACGAATAAAAAGAGACCTCCGCAGCACGTGAAAGCTAACTTGAATTGACAAACGCCCCAAACCGGGGTGAATTAGTAAGCAATCCCTAACGGAATATATAAGATATCGTAATGATGTAGTGCTCGTCTGTGAAGCCGCAGTACACACACACACAGTATGGGCGAAAAAGTGGCCGCAAAACGGGAATTAGTTATCACAAAGGGGATCTATGATGTTACCCCTTCCACCCAAGATGATTGTTGACAAATGCAATCTCAAATGGGTTTGGAGGTTAATGGCTATTTAAACTGAGGTCTGAACGGGCACAGAACTGAACGAAATAAGATACAATAAGAGCAATAAGTAGCTTTGAAGAGGGCAAAACCGTAAAATGCGAAAGCTATGATTACCCTTTAATTTCTACCGTTGATACGCACCTTACTTATTCTAATACTTTGGATGAATGCAAAAACAAATAGTAAGAATAAAGAAGTAAAAGATCCCGCTTACCAGCATCCAAAGTGAGCGGTGACAGCACAAACTGTTGTTCATTTTCTGGCGGAATATCTTTCCAAGTAGCCAAGAAGACCATTTTCTCCATCTCTCCCGCCGATGTGAACAGCACATGGATTGGAACGAGACAAGCAAAGTAAAAAACATCTAAGTTATTCTTTACTGCCACTTGCAAATTCATCAGTGGGTCCATCTTCACAACTTGATTACCAAAGCCAAGTGGGAGGGTCACTTTGGCTGACTGTTTGGACTGCAGAGGACTGGGCACACTCAGAGCCTCTGCCGGTGCCAATCCAAAGCTGTTCTTGTTAAATTGGATAGCGAAACCGGTCATTGGGGTTAGAGCGTTGTTTGTGAAAGTGAGCTCCATTTGGGGAGTGTTAGTGGCGGTGTTGAGGGAGAAAGTGCCAGAGATTTCGAGACCCTTTCCACGGGAGGATTCGAGCCATACGGAGGGGGCAGGGATATATGCGGGTGGTGAGGGAGAAGCAATTACCATTGAGGCTAAGTCGTGACTTGCAAGACTACTTGAGGGGGCGGCAGAAGCTCCAGAGCTCACTCCCAAACCACCGAAGATATCGGTCAGGGCGTCAGCGGCGGAAGGATCTGAAAATATGGTAAAAACAGCACAGATTTGATCAATTTGCGACTTCAGACTTTGGCTTAATTTCTGATACATATACAGGGGGAATGAGAAATAATTATTTTAAAGAACTGTAGTGTTTTTTTTACAAAACAAAACAATGTTTCTGTTAAATGTTCGATTTAAACATAATCATTCACCTTTAGTTCTTTATATCGCTCAGAACTTCATAACAGAACCCTTATCTTAAACTGTTTTGTATGAAAGATATGGGTATGAGTTCTGTAAAGAGCAATCCCAATCTTTGTAGTTCAATAACCGATTTCCGAACTTCAGCGTGGTGATGAAAAGTTGGTACCCACTTGAAAATTAAATGCCTCGAAACGACCTTTCAAGTTTCCTGGATATATCTTCAGAATGGATATTTAACTGTGAAATTGTTTTCCTAGCTTAAATGTCATGAAACAGAAAATAAGCAATTAAATAAAGAGAGTACATCCAGATTCCACAGCCCAAGTGAAGAAAGTCTATTGATAGCCCAAGCTTCGGCAAATTCGATCCCCTTCCGTTAAAACCTTATCTACACTTCCCGACTCCACTGTTTTCCAAGATGAAACTATGACTTTCCATTTACCATGAATTGAAATAAAGACATTCAATTGTCGTGATTAAACCCCTAAATAATAAATTAAACCCACAAATTACCACAACGAAAGCAAACGCAAGCACTGCAGCTGAAATTTGAAGTGTACATACGAAGTGTGAATAGAATGGATCAAGGAATATTGCCCATATCAAAAGAGAAGCCAACCTGACTGTCCAACCGCTGAAGTCTTCGGAGTAATTCCAGGAAGAAGATCGTCAAGACCATCTCCAAGTAAATCTGGTGCTTCCATATCAATTCCATGAATCGGGGTGGCACCTGCATACCCTCCGACAGGTTGTACCATAGTATTACTGGTCGGCATCACCGTATCAATATCCAGCAGATCACCAATCAATGTTTCCTGTGTTGGGATAACGGTTGTAGTAGGTTGTCCTGCATCGACACCACCGGCTTTGCCCAAACCACCGCCACTTGAAGTACCAAAGAGCTGTCGACGTGAAATGTGCTTTCCTTCCACGAAAGCGCTGGGTGGTTGATGATAGACACTGGCGAGGCTACCAAGATTGCAGATGAGTTCATCAAGTAGAGAAGGTTCTAGAAGGTCAGTCTCCTCGGAGATGAGAGGCTTCTCAGCAAGAACCACCTCCTTGGCTGCGGTGGGGTCTGTGGAAAGAAGACGCCAATAGACGTAACCACGATCACGCAAGTCGGGATTGTCTGATTCGAGAGTAGCCAAGCCTAGAACATTTTGAACGAGTTCCTGGAAAGATCAAAATTTGAATGATGAGAGCAAAAAAGGAACGAGTTGAACGATATTTCACTTAGAAACTTAACTAACACGAGGGATAGTGTCGTAAGAAATAGAATATAATATTTTCTATGAAATTGAACTAAATGCAAGTAATTGGTCCCTCGATTTATTTAAGGAGTCTACGAGCACTGTTTCTTCAACGCTCGTGTTTGGGAATGACATTTCTAAATTTTAAATTGCAGTCTGAACCGCCCGAAATTATTTTTGCACAGTTGCTAGATAACAATACTTGATCTACCAGGTCATAGCAACCGCTGCCATGATATTACATCAATCGCCTCTCAGTACAAACACAATGGTAGGCAGGATTAAGGTATTTATTAATTCTCATTAACACTATTTGAAACCTCCCATAAAAATAAAAAAAACAAGAATATTCCAAAAGACAATGGCCCGATTTTCACAAATGAAAAAAAGTCATAGACAATGCCAAACAAATAGCAGGTTTTAGCATCAAACTAGGCAAAACACAGTGAAAGAATGACTACCTGGCATCAGGAAAAGAAATAGCGAATATTAAAAAATATTTTCCCATAAATAAAAAGATTCTAGATCATTTGAAAGCGAATAACCACCACATCGACGGCGTCCAATTGACGTGGAATACGTGAAAATTGTTAATTACCAAAAGCATACCTGTGTATCCGAAGGTCTCTTAAGGAAGAGCTTCACAATAGCAGTGAGGAGTTGGAGTTGCACTTGAGTATTCTCATCATGAAATCCGTCCAAGAATGATTGGAGCAATTCATCGGCATTATCAATTCTCTCCGCATATTCACCAATGATCCAGATCATAGAAGCTCTGGCTTCAGGTTCATCTAATGTGTCCAGGTTTTCACACAAGTTGGCAATAATACTCTCGTACTTGTTTGGGTACTTTCGGAAGATATCCTTAATAACAACAATGGCTTCCTGAACAACATAATTGACCTTGGTATTAATTAGTTCCACCAGTGTACTAACACATCTTTCCGCCGAGGCTTCAACTTTGATAGCACAACGACCAATGGCTCGAACTGCCTTGCGCACAAAATCGACATCCACCTCTTTAGCATACTCCTTAAGCTCAGCTAAAACTTGAGCAATATTCGCTTGGTTAGTCAGTCGAATCATGATATCCAGCTTCTCCAATTTAACGTATATTGGATCGTTATATTTTACGAAAAAAGCCTTAATTTCCTGTTTGAGGATGTCTTTATTCTTTTGCGAAATGAGGTTGATATTACGAAGAGCGACATATTGGATCTCCGGTTCAGCTGCAAGCAAAGTAACCAGTGGAGGAGACAATTTTTTGGATGTAGTCTGAGCGAAATCGGACTCTGGATCGATAAATCCAAGGGTACGGATAACCACTTTAACAGCAGATAAGACAACAGCGGCGTTCGCGTGCTGGAGTCTTGGCATGACACGTTCTATTATACCTCGGGCTTCACGTTCATCTGTTGGGGTGTACTCAGCGATGGCATCGAGAATGAAAACCTGTCCCCATCTAACAAAAAAGGGATTATACTACTAATATAGACAACTTACTCATTGCATTCATTCAGGGCTGTGAGAAGTTTGTTAACAATTTGCTGATCAATTTTCAGTAGATTGACAACAGATTCAGACTGTGTAGTCTCCAAGATTTCAGAGATTGCAGCGACAGCGTTTGTGACAACCATTGGATTACTGTCGTTTAGAAGGTTCTTTAACAAACTAAGAAAGCCATTATCTTCGACCAAAGTAGGGTCAATATCATAAAGCTTTGCGACACAAATGGCAGCGGTCTTCCGAACGTAGGGATCTTCATCTTTAAGGCATTTACGCAAGGGGTCACAATAATACGCAGTAATTTTCTCAACTCTTATGCATCCCATAGTGCGAACAGCCAAAGCTCGAATCAATGCATTAGGATCATCACAATCCTAACAAGCATGCATAAAATGACTTAACAATTAACTTACTCTAACAAATGTACTAACGGTCATGATAGATGTATCAGGTTGAGTCTTAGCATAATTCATAAGATACAAGTAGACAAGTTTCTTTAATTCTAAGTTATCAGTTTGCATGCAGTTCATAACGTCGGGAAAGAGAGCGCTAAAATTCCAGACAAATATATCGTAAGTACCTGACATCCTTTCCAACGGTCATGCTAGCAATAACCTTTTTAACGGCTTCCTTCTTTTTTTCCTTCTTTTCATTTTGTAATTCAGCCTTTAACTCAAATATTTCACCCTTTTTGGTAGTTGTAAAATATTTTGAGTCAGTAGTCTTAGCCTGATTGGTAACCTTTTGAAACCATGGTCTAGAAATAAAATAATTAAGAAAAATTATTAATACTTCATGTTTCCAAAAGTATCTGTTACAGAAGCAGCTACGTTTTGCATTTTTACGTGGTCTACGCTATCTCACCGTATTCAAGCAATCCGCAATGACAAGTGTAAACTGAAACAGGGAAAAATATTCTATTTTATAATCATTAATTACAGTTACATGTCTAAAAAGATTACGTAACATGTTGCAAATATATTTGTCACAGAAAATTTTATTTGCGAGAAATTAAAGTATACCCAGGTTGATATGTAATTGACTTACATTTTAGTTCTTAGATTGCCTAAAAAGCATTCATAAACGACTGCCAAGAAAAGTAATTTGTGTGTGATTAAGTGATCTGTGGCTCCCAATTGTTCTGAAAATACTATCAACTAATTATGAATGGATAAGATATATATATTCATCTATGCAATGATACTTTCTATATCAAGCTTTGTTGCCTATTTATATTAGCTAAATGCTATTACTGCCAATACAACTTTGTATATTAAGCGAATATTATTAAATTTCAATAATTAATTCGGTTTATAAGTGCATTCTTGTCGTTCGATAAGCATTAAATCTTAATGAATTATAATAACTCGAACAATTGGCGGAAAATTAAGCTGTGAACTCGCTGTGGTCGCGCTGTGCTCGTTTCTCAGAATGGATTCTAAAGACGAGGAGATTTTAATTAAAGTATTAACACTATTTAAAAATATTCATAAAAAGTATCCAAATTTTGAAAAACTTGCTGATGAAATTGCTTTTGCGTAAGATGCTTACATATTTACCTATTTACGAATTTTTCAGTGAAATCGTTCCTTTGAAGGCCTTCGACTGTTTATTTTTTGCCTATGTCAAGAATAATTACCTAGGTCCACCTTTTGACTTAGCAATCGATATTTCTGAGATGGATAAACTGGCATATTCTTTCCTAACCGTTGATTCTGAAACTCCATTTCAACTTATTCGTTATCCATCCTTATTGTGGTTATGCAAAGAATACTCTTATCATATGGCATCGGTTTCAAATATTATGTCTCTTAAATATGCTTGCCATCATCTAAAATGCATTTATATGATGCAAGATATGTATGGCGAAATTCGTTGCCCTACTATCAAGCAAGAATTTGATGATATTTTAGAGAAAGGTAATGATTTTTTTCTAATAATTTATACTTTAAACAGTCGATTTGGACGAAATTGCTGAAAGACGGGACATAGACGCTTTCACTTTTGCTTTACTGGGTTGCTATATTTCTGTCTTTTATCATGACTTCGAATGGGCAAGTCGTTTTCAGAAAATGTGTGAAGACTTTCTGGGCATTCAGGTCAATTTTTCAGGTATTTGAAAATATGCATGCCTTTATTGCTGTTTTAGCTGTTCTTGGCACTCGGACTAAGGCCCAACAGGACGCTCTTTCTCAACTCATTATCCAAGTTGAGAGAATCAAAGAAAGCAATTCTATTATTGAGTTGCCTAATGCACCGACGGCTATGCCAAAAGTTTGATATTGCTCCTTATTATCATTTATTTTCAACTTAGGTGTGTCCTTTAGAGGATGATAACTTATTGGAGTTTATCAAATTCACCAATGATTCATGTGTCAATCAGAAACTATCTATTCCAGAGCAGGCTTTTGTTCTCTGTTGTGGAGAAATTTATCGACGCTCACATCCTAATGATGAGTTAATTAATGAGCAGTCGTTGGCATTTGTGACGGCTATTGTTCGCAGTATTATGGAAAAAGAGGGATCGTCAAATGGTGCTGGAGACGGATCAACTGAATTAGACGAGCCTTCAGTCGCTTGGCCTATTCTCACAGAAGCTCTTTTTAAACGAGGTTCTTATGAAAGGCGATCCTTAGCCCGCCAAGAAAGAGCCATGCGACAGCTTGAAGAGATTACTTCCCAGTATTCTGCCACTCAACCAGATACCTCAGAACGTGGCTTGGAATACTTCTTCTGGTCTAGAATGCCCTCATTTTGGCAAACTGATTTGTGTCATGCAAAACTCCTCAGTGATCTGGGAATGGTTAAGAGCGCTTTGGATATCTACTTGCGTTGCCAACAATGGAATGAGGTTGTCGATGCCTACACAGTGACTGGTCAACGTGATCTCGCCGAAAAGGTCATTCGAGAACGTATCGCCGCAGGACATGAAACCCCCGATCTTTATTGTTGTCTTGGAGATGTCACCAATGATTCATCATATTATGAAAAGGCCTGGGAGATGTCTAAACACAAATCGGCTAGAGCTGCTCGGTTATTGGGACTTAATGCTGTTAATAAAGAGAAAGATAAGAAGAAGGGTGTCCAGTACTTTGAAAAGTCTCTGGAAATTAATCGTTTCCAAGTAAACCTCTGGTTTTCTCTTGGATGCTTATACTTGGATCTCCATGACTTCCAACATGCAGAGCGAGCCTTCAGGTATAGTGTGACTCTAGAGCCTGATGTAAGTTGATTTTCGTCGGTTTCATACAATTATTTTTTCTGTCTTTCTGATGTGTAGGCTTTTTTTTCAATTTCTTGTAGAATCACGAAGCTTGGAATAACTTGGCAAGTGCGGTAATGTTTGCCGGTCGAAAATGGCAAACCTTGGCTCTGCTCAAGGAGGCTGTTAAGCATAACTACGAGTCCTGGAGGATTTGGGAGAACATTTTGCTTGTAAGTGATGACGATTATTAATTGCTCATAGTTTCTTTGTACTATTGCAAAGTATACTTTCTTACACTAACAGTGGGTATTTTTTGTCTTTTGAATGACATTTCTTTTAATCTTCCACATAATATCCAAAGATTTTGAAATGGCTTTTAGTGCCTCATTATTATTTTAGATTCCCACAGCCGTTTACCTTCAAGCTTTCACAGATCAAGAATCCAGAGCAAAATTAAAACAACTCATTAACTAGGTTCCAAGCATTTTTCTAGTTCTTATGAAGTTTTCCATCCAGACCCAAGACGGTTAATAAATAAATCAAGAGATAGGATATCGATTTCGTTGCGGAGATGTTCAAAAGGTTGATTTTTTCTAGGATAATTTTAGAGTGGTTCTTTATCATAATAGCTTTGAAGGCAGTGATATTCGTAATATGAAGTGGGCAAGAACTGTAAACGGCCCAAACTTTTGTATTTTTAGGCAACAGTTTTTTGCCTTCTTATAGCACTTAAGTGAAAATTAAAGCTTGCTTTTTCTTTTCCTTTAAAATTATTTGAAATTTCAATAGGTTGCCACCGAAGATCGTTCTTTCAACGACGTGATTAACGCCTACCATCGCCTGATTGAACTCCGTCAAAAGCATGTAGATCCACAAATCTTGGGAATCCTTGTTAAGGCCGTTTCTGAAGACCTTCCAGACAATAAAGGGCAAGGTGCGTCCAAGTATCGCAAGGAACTGCTCAATCTTCTCGGTCGCGTTACTTCCACAGTTAGTCCAAGAGGCGCTTATTTTTTGCAAGTTTTCTATTTTGTATGAATTGTCATTTTGTATTTACGCCTTTCACTTAGAACCCCGTGGATGGAGAAGCCTGGAGGCTCTACGCAAATTTGGTCCTAAGTGGTGAAGAAGAAGAGCTAAAACCGGTTGATTACCAGAAAGTAGGCATATATTTCTTTTTAGTTCAATCGTGCTATCCAATCAATTTATTTGATGAGTTTTTAAATGGAAATTTATCTTTTTTTCTTATTTAGGCTGTTCAGTACATTCAGCGTTCCTATCAATGCCGCCTGCGTTCAGCAGAGAAGGATTGGGAATTCAGAAAGGATGTTCGCGAGGATCTATTGAAGGATTTGAGAGCTATGTCCACTTTACTCATTCCTAGTTCTAGCGAAGAAAAGGCTAAGGAGGTTTTCGGTGAGGAAAGCGCGGGTTTTGTGGACTCGTCGCTCGCCTCACTTCGAATGAATATCAATGTGTTCATAGCTAGACTTAAGGTACGTTTCATCTGGTAGACACTAATTGTGTCCATTTTTGGGAAGCATAATAATTACATTTTTTTCTCATTTCTAGGCGTCCCTAAATAAATGCTTCGATGAAAAAGTCAAAAGCGAAATTACTGAGGACAAAAAAATCCTTTCCGATCTTCATGACGCTGTAAATGTCGCCCTAGGAGAAAAATAATGTCTACTTTTTCTATAATTTTGTACATTTTGTCAGATCAATAAAAAATTGACAAGACTGTTTCCATTTTAAGTCAGCAAAGTTAGAATGCGGTTTTTTTCCAAACTCCCTGTGCGAAAAATACTAGTACAGTTGTTAAGTACCTGTTACATTGGTGATCCATTTTTACGTTTTCAACTTAAATCAATTTCAGACGAAGCCAATGGCTACAAAACTCATATTCGATACTGCTTCGAGGAAGGCTTGGATGCAAAATGTCCAGCATCGATTTTTCGCAAAATCAGCCAAGGGTGACTTTCATCAATTAGATTGTGCCCGATTTATTCAAGACATGCGAAAGAATTTACTTGAAAGGAACTCAAAAGCAAACTTGGATGAAATGGCAATAAAGAGCCTTTTCATTTAACTCATTCTTTTTAGATTGCTCTTTATCAGCGCTTCCAAAAAGGTGAAGTTGAATTGGAAAAAAAGTTGCGAAAGTTATACTCAACTCTCCCGAATTGGAGTCATCCAAGTACAGTGGGTTTGGGCTGTCTTGCTTCTTAACATATTATTTTAGCCTATTGGAGATCCAAGTAAATTTCAGCTTATCTATCTCCATGGGTCACCTAAGAATGGTTTTCTTGATTTTCTGGTGTTAATCGATGCTGTTTTGTAGTTCCACAGCCAAAAAACGAACTTGACCTGTTATCTAATGAAGTGAAAATTCATAAGAGAGGAAATCGTAGTCGTAGGACAGGTCTAGGCTTTCTTAGATCGTCAGGAGGACTGGGGACTGGCTGTGGACCCCGGTCGTATGCCTTCTACGATAGCCTTGCACGACTAGAATCTGCTCTACTGAAGTTAACCCTAGATCGAACGCTGAAAGCAGGATTTCGACAAGTTATTGTTCCTGATATTTTACCGGCCCGAGTTATCGAAAGATGTGGCTTTCCTACAACTGGAGAAAGGAATCAGGCAGGTTCAGTTCATTGTATAATGTCTTCTAAGGAGGCGTTTTATTTACATCGCTATAAATGTGCGCTTAGCGGGGTACTTACTAAGGTACCAAAAGTGGCCATGAGTCCATATCTAGCCAATAGAGTACCCCTATTCCATGGGGTAAATCTCCTTTGGGAGCCTGACGAAGTTAGGCTTGGTCTTTTTATAGGCTAATAAGATGTACTTATTTTGTTTTAGAAAAAGAACAATTGTTATGAAATGAATTAGGGAGGGGGTAGGGTAGAAAAGGGGGGGGGGGTTATTAAGAGCTTTTGGGGATTGCGTTGAAAATGCGTCAGTGTTAAGCGAATGAAAATAGGGTTGCTGTAAAGGTGCCATATTGCAGTTTAACAAATTAGGGCTTATTTTGTTCGTTGATCAACAGTCGGTTAAAATCTTAAATTGATAAATTGTTGTACGAGTTTGTAAGGACTTATCCAACTTGCTCTTCTCTGCTTTCGCGATTCTTGACCAAACTTTATTTGAACTAGTATCAATTTTGATCCAGACTTATTCCTCAGCACACTCAGAGGATACCATGAATTTTATTTGTCGAGATGTTCTCAATCGCACTGATTAAGTCCGTTTAGTGCGGAATCTAGTTGAATTCGAGCCTCTATTCAATCAACTACCATAATTGTATCCCTTCATCCTAGATGCGTGTTGGGAATCGCCCATCTTAATGGATTCGAGCTTTCTGGGCTTATGCAGGCTACGTTGTTATGGGGGGCATTGTATGTTTCACTTTCAGATATTCAAAATTGCTGATAGAAAGGAAGTTGGGGAAGCTTCGCTTTTCTGTCTCTCAGGCACTGGTGAAATGGGTCTGGCCGGATTCTGTGCCGACGGAATATTTGGAGGTTCCTTGGACATAGAGGCTGAGTTCTTCACCACTCTTAGTCGATGCTATCGACACGAAGTTGCTCATCAAGAGTCTCTACTCTATCGAACTCATCAGTTCAACAAAGTGAGTTGACGATTTTTTAAAGTATAAAAGTGAGTACTAACGTGTAATATCAGCCATATCAGTGATCATTGGTTTTAGTTTCGTCAATATTTATATATTTCAAATGGCAGGCTTTATAATAGTTACCATTAGCCCTTTAGTTGACTTCGGGCTTCACAGAGGGGAGAAACATGAAAGTCACAAAAGGTCTAGAGAAGGAGGGGGGGGGGGCAGAAGAGTGATTCACAAATGTAAGATACAGACACAAAGGTAGGGAGTAGGGTAAGGTGAGTACTGTGAAAGTGGTGAAATATGGCATACAGTGGTAGTTTGAAGTCAATTGTCTGTTTATAGACTTTTTCCCCTATG